CACAGCCAAATATGTGCTGCCAAAGTATGCTGTCCTTGAAAATTGCGCTGTCTTAAAACACCACATACAGCTTTAAAGATTCCCCCAAACTGTACTTAAAAGCATTGAATATTTCTAATGTTACCCTCAAAGCCACATGAAAAGTCCCTTCTCGGGTTTTAGAGTTTTTTTTTTTTTTTTGGGGTACATGTTCCACACAGCAGTGCCCAGCACGCAATGCCTCTTGATCAACACCAGTTTGGTTTTAGTCCCACAAAAGAACCAAACTGAATATTAAGATCCGCCCACCAGACTTTAATAGAGTTTGTTGACAAGATCACATGTATCGCAAAACGGGCCACAAATTGAACCTGAGCAGATTCTCTGATCTCAAGCATTTGCACTGGCTATCAATAAATTAAACACAAATACCTTTCCCGTAACCAGAGTAGTGCAGATGTTAAAGAATGTATAAACCCCTCATTTCATATTCCTCATATGTGCCTGCTGTACCCTGAACAGCTGTGGCAAAAAGTTTTGAGAATATACATAAATATTAATTTTCACAAAGTCTGCTGTCTCAGTTTTTATGAAGGCAATTTGCATATACTACAGAATGTTATGAAGAGTTATCGGACAAATTGAATTTAATTGCAAAGTCCCTCTTTGCCATGAAAATTAACTTAATCCCCCAAAAAAATTTACACTGCATTCCAGCCCTGCCACAAAAGGACCAGTTGACATCATGTCAGTGATTCTCTTGTTAACACAGCTGTCAGTGTTAACGAGGATAAGGCTGGAGATCACTCTGTCATGCTGACTGAGTTAGAATAACAGACTGGAAGCTTTAAGAGGATTGTGGTGCTTGAAATTACTGTTCTTCCTCTGTTAACCATAGTTACCTGCAAGGAAACACGTGCAGTCACCATTGCTTTGCACAAAAAGGGATTTACAGGCAAGGATTTTGCTGCTACTAAGATTGCACATACAGTTGCAAGAAAAAGTATGTGAACCCCTTGGGATTACATGGAGTTTTGCATGAATTGGGCATAAAATGTTCTCTGAACGTCATCTAAGTCACAACAATAGAAGAACACAGTCTGCTGAACATAATACTACACAAGCATTATATGTTGCCATGGTTTAATTGCACATAACATGTAAACATTCACAGTGCAGGGAGGAAAACGTATGTGAACCTTTGGACTTAATAACTGGTTGACCCTCCTTTGGCAGCAATAACCTCAACCAAACGTTTCCTGTAGTTGCAGATCAGACCTGCACAACGATCTGGAGTAATTTTGGACCACTCCTCTTCACAAAACTGTTTCAGTGTAGCAATATTCTTGGGATGTCTGGTGTAAATCGCTCTCTTAAGGTCATGCCACAGCATTTCAATCCGGTTGAGGTCAGGACTCTGGGCCACTCTAGAAGGCATATTCTGTGCTGTTGCATCCATTGTTTTGTTGAATTACTTGTATGCTTTGGGTCATTGTCCTGTTGCATCACCCATCCTTTGCGGAGCTTCAGTTGGCAGACAGATGTTCGTACGTTTTCCTGCAAAGTGTCTTGATAAACTCTGGAATTCATTTTCCCATCAATGACAACAATCCGTCCAGGCCCTGAGGCAGCAAAGCAGCCCCAAACCATGATGCTCCCTCCGCCATGTTTTACAGTGGGGATGAGGTTTTGATGTTGGTGTGCTGTGCCTTTTTTTCTCCACACATAGTGTTGTGTGTTCTTCCCAAACAACTCAGTCTTGGTTTCATCTGTCCACAGTATATTTTGCCAGTAGTGCTGTGGAACATCCAGGTGCTCTTTTGCAAACTTCAAACGTGCTGCAATATTCTTTTTGGACAGCAATGGCTTCCTCCGTGGTGTCCTCCCATGTACTCCATTCTTGTTTAATGTTTTCCTTATTGTAGATGTGTTAACAAAAATGTTAGCATGTGCCAGAGATTTCTGTAGGTCTTTAGCTGACACTCTGGGATTCTTCTTTACCTCATGCAGCATTCTGCGCTGTGCTCTTGCAGTCATTTTTACAGGACGACCACGCCTAGGGAGAGTAGCAACAGTGCTAAACTTTCTCCATTTGTAGACAGTCTGTCTTACCGTCTACACATGAACATCAAGGCTTTTGGAGATGCTTTTGTAACCCTTTCCAGCTTCATGCAAGTCAACAATTCTTGATCGTAGGTCTTCTGAGAGCTCTTTTCTGCGAGGCATGGTTCACATCAGACAGTGCTTCCTGAAACCAGTAAACTCAAAACAGGTGTGTGTTTTTTAAGGGCAGGACAGCTGTCAGCAACACATCCAATATCATCACACTGATTGCAGTCAAGGTTGGCTCACTCCTGGCTCCAATTAGCTCTGGGAGAAGTCATTAAGCTAGGGCCTCACATACTTTTTCCTCCCTGCACTGTGAATGTTTACATGTTATGTGCAATTAAAAACAATGGCAACATCTAATGTTTGTGTAGTATTATGTTCAGCAGACTGTGTTCTTCTATTGTGACTTAGATGACGTTCAGAGCACATTTTATGCCCAATTCATGCAAAACTCCACGTAATCCCAAGGGGTTCACATACTTTTTCTTGCAACTGTAAATCAACCACTTATCAGATCATAAAAAACTTCAAGGAGAGTGGTTCAATTGTTGTGAAGAAGGTTTCAGGGTGCACAAGAAAGTCCAGCAAGCATTAGGACTAACTTCTAAAGTTGATTCAGCTGTGGGATCGAGGCACCACCAGTGCAGAGCTTGCTCAGTAATGGCAGCAGGCAGGTATGAGTGCATCTGCTGCCACAGTGAGGTAAAGACTTTTGGAGGATGGCCTGGTGTCAAAAGGGGCAGCAAAGAAGCTACTTCTCTCCAGAAAAACATGAGGGACAGATGGATATTCTATAAAAGGTACAGGGATTGGACTTCTGAGGACTAGGGAAAAGTCATTTTCTCTGATGAATCCACTTTCCGATTGCTTGGGGCATCCAGAAAAAACCTTGTCCCGGAGAAGAAAAGGTGAGTGATGCCATCAGTCATGTGTCATGCCAACAGTAAAGCATCCTGAAACAATTCATGTTTGGGTCAATGAAAATGGGTAATTTTAAGTGGGACTTTAAATAAACCCCGGGATTCACAAAGAATACTCAAATAGAAAAAAATTATGAATAAAATTACAAAATTTATTGAATTAACATATAAAAAGACTCATCTATAAGTACAAGCATCTACCTTAAGTATTAAATGCATCTTGTGATGTAGGTCAACGCATTTCGCGGGCACCCCGAGAATAATTTATTTGGAAATACACATAATTAAATATATAAAATATCTCTAGAACAAACAAAGAAAAAAAAACAATGAAACACATATTTAATGAACAAAAAATATACAAACATATCAACATTAAGACCCTGTGTGCATGACATAAAGAGAGCCAGTTATCATGAGAAAACATATATATTATCAAACATACAATATAGCTATATATTGAGTAGTACTCTTACTCCTGAAGTAATGGGGATAGAATATCATAGAAAAATCTCAAAATAGAGATGGAATATATGTGCCACTTTTTTGCACTTGCCGGCCCAAGGGAAGTCACCCCCAAAAACATCAAGGCCCCAAGGATTTAAAAAGATTCTATAGAATGATCATATAATAACATAAATAATTAAATATAGAAAGATGCATCTTGCGGGACCACTGTGATTATAATTAGGCTCCATGTGGACATGCCTAAAAATAATCAAGAGAAAAAAAGGGTACACAACATCCATATGGTTTCATCCTCACTCCTCAAAATGATGGGGGCCCAAAAAAATGGAATGCTCTTCTAAGAAAAAGTGATATATATAGAGTACAAGACCACGATGCATGCCCCATAGATACTTACAGGATTTACCTCAGACTGTGATGGTAAGCACACGGATCCGCATTGAAAATATAGATTTAAGATGGTCTGCAAATTCCAGTTTAAATATTTATAAAATACCAAAAGAGAATCCAGAGAAAAGAAAACATCACAGTTTGGAAAGGCATATCAAGCCAAGTATGGGTATCTCCATAGATATAGCCTCTTTACCTCACTCAGAGAGTAAACATCAAACCGCCATCATGCAGCAATAGAAAGAGAAACAACCAGCCAAGGGCCTCGAATATATACAAGGGGAGGTACAGATGTGGACAATCTCAAATGAGGCACAGATGTGTCCACGGCGTGTGGGAGGGCCACTCCCCTCCATACACTCACTACCCAATACCAAGATGACGGACGCAATGCGCAACACTGTATGTTGCACAAGCGCAGCCCGACGCCACATCCGGTTTCACCACTGAAGGAGATGGTCAGAAACATTGTCACCAAAAGCAAGGTTCTTACAAAACAGCCACTACAAAAGGATGATCTATCCAAACGCCCCCATTTGGGCAAACAGGAAACTAAGCACACACAGCGGCCCGCAAACCCAACAAACAGGTCCAAAAAGAAGCACAATGGTGATAAGCCCAAGCAAACCCAAGGACACCATAAACTGGATCTTAAAGTCATATAGCAGTAGAAAGGGAAAATTGTCAAAAAATAATCATTTATCTCCACAACAATATAAATAAAAAAAAAAAAATAATAAATATATATATATATATATATATATATATATATACATACAGTGGATATAAAAAGTCTACACACTCCTGTTAAAATGTCAGGTTTCTGTGATGTAAAAAAAATGAGACAAAGATAAATAATTTCAGAACTTTTTCCACCTTTAATGTGACCTATAAATTGTACAACTCAGTTGAAAAACAAACTGAAATCTTTTAGGGGAGGAAGTAAACATAAAAAACTAAAATAATTTGGTTGCATAAGTGTGCACACCCTCTTATAACTGGGGATTTAGCTGTGTTCAGAATTAAGCAATCACATTTAAAATCATGTTAAATAGAAGTCAGTACACACCTGCCATCATTTAACCACCTCCCACCTGCCATATAGTCCAATGACGGGCGCAAGGTGGTTCTCCCATTCTCACCGCGCATGCATGGCTCAGGGAGCATGCAGCGCGGCGATCAATGTTGCGCTGTGTCCCTAGGACACAGCGGATCACTAATCTACGGAAAGAGCTGCAGATGTCGGCTCGGTCATGTGATCAGCTGTGTCCAATCACAGCTGATCACATGTAAACAGGGAATTGCCGGTTATTGGCATTTCTCTCCTCACGAGCTGTCACACTGACAGCTCATGAGGAGAGGAGAGCCTGTAATCGGCATTCCGCGCAGGGGACATGTACACTGATCATCAGGGCACTGATGATCAGTGTGCCCTGATGATCAGTGTGGCCCCAGAAGTGCCACCTGTCAGTGTCCATCAGTGCCAGCTGTCAGTGCTGAACAGTTCCACGTGCCAGTGCCACATCAATGCCACATATCAGTGCCTACCAGTGCACATCAATGCCACATATCAGTGCCCATCTGAGCTGCCTTTCAGTGTCACCCATCAGTGCCAGTCAGTGCTACCTATCAATGCTAATCAGTGCCACCTATCAGTGCTGCCAATCGGTGCCACCTATCAGTGCCAGTCAGTGCCGCCTATCAGTGTGCATCAGTGCCCTTCAGTGCTGCCTAACAGTGCCAGTCAGTGCCACCTAACAGTGCCAGTCAGTGCCACCTATCAGTGCCATATATCAGCGCTGCCTTTCAGTGCCCATCAGTGATGCCTGTCAATGCCCATCAGTGCCTCCTCATCAGTGCCACCTATCAGTGTCCATCAGTGCAGCCAATCAGTGCCCATCACTGCAGCCTCATTAGCGCACATCAGTGAAGGAGAAAAATCATATATTTACAAAAGTTTAGAACAAAAACTAAGAAAAAAACATTTTTTTTCAAAATTTTCAGTGGTTTTTGGTTTGTTTAAGAAAAAATAAAAAACCCAGAGGTGATTAAATACCACCAAAATAAAGCTCTATCTGTCACAAAAAAATTATAAAAATTTTCACATGGGTACAGTGTTGTATGACCGCACAATTGTCAAAGTGTGATAGCGCTGAAAGCTGGCAATTGGCCTGGGCAGGAAGGGGGTAAAAGTGCCCTGTAGCCAAGCGATTAAAGTGCCTCTGATTAACCCCAGATAAAGTTCAGCTGTTCTAGTCGGTCTTTCCTGACATTTTCTTAGTCGCATCGTACAGCAAAAGCCATGGTTCTCAGAAAGCTTCCAAAGCATCAGAGGCATCTCAGTGTTAAAAGGTATCAGTCAGGAGAAGGGTCATCATCAAGTGGAGAAAATATGGCACAACAGGGACATTACCAAGAACTGGACGTTCCTCCAAAATAGATGAAAAGACAAGAAGAAAACTGGTCTGGGAGGCTGCCAAGAGGCCTACAGCAACATTAAAGGAGCTGCAGGAATATCTGGCAAGTACTGGCTGTGTGGTACATGTGACAACAATCTCCCGTGTTCTTCATATGTCTGGGCTACGGGGTAGAGTGGCAAGACGAAAGCCTTTTCTTACTAAAAAAATATATACAAGCCCTGTTAAATTTTGCAAAAACACATCTGAAGTCTCCCAAAAGCATGTTGGAAAATGTGTTATGGTCTGATGAAACAAAGGTTGAACTTTTGGTCATAATTCCAAAAGATATGTTTGGCACAAAAACAACACTGCACATTACCAAAAGAAACACCATACCCACAGTGAAGCATGGTGGTGGCAGCATCATGCTTTGGGGCTGTTTTTTTCTTCAGCTGGAACTTAGTCAAAGTAGAAGGAATTATTAACAGTTCCAAATACCAGTCAATACTGCCACAGAACATTCAGGCATCTGCTAGAAAGCTGAACATGAAGAGGAACTTCATCTTTCACCATGACATTGACCCAAAGCATACATCCAAATCAACAAAGGAATGGCTGCACCAGAAGAAGATTAAAGTTTTGGAATGGCCCAGACCTGAATCTGATTGAAAATCTGTGGGGTGATCTGAAGAGGGCTGTGCACAGGAGATGCCCTTGCAATCTGACAGATTTGGAGTGTTTTTGCAGGGAAGAGTAGGCAAATATTGCCAAGTCAAGATGTGCCATGCTGATAGACTCATATTCAAAAAGACTGAATGCTGGAATAAAATCAAAAGGTGCTCAACAAAGTATTAGTTTAAGGGTGTGCACACTTATGCAACCATATTATTTTAGTTATTTACTTTTACTTACCTTCTCCTAAAAGATTTCAGTTTGTTGTTTAACTGAGTTGTACAGTTTATAGGTTACATTAAAGGTAGAAAAAGTTCTGCAATGAACAAATAAGACAAACACCATGTACCGTGAAAGATCATCTAATCTGAATACAAAAGTGGAACAGAACTACTTGTACCGTTCAACCCTGGTGGTGTAGTTGCCTTAAGATGGTAAATAGTTAATACGATCAAAATCACCTCCATGTGATGGGGTGAATATGTGCCAGGGCTGAAAATCTAATAGAGTCGGGTTGATATTGATGGAATATGGCAAAGTGTTTAGGAATTGGTTTTTCAACCATAACAATGGTAATGTCTGTACTGCGATCTTTAATTTGCTGCCAAAATTCGCATTTTGTCTTGCCAATGTAATATGATCCACATCCACAATTCATCAAATAAACAATACCTATAGTATTGCAGTTCACAAAATGTTTTGTTTTGAATATTTGCGAGTTGGGGGAGACGCAGCTCCCGACATTCATTAAGATATTGGCAATAGTCACATCTACCACATTTGAAGGTACCTTTGGGTACTGAAGAACATGGGTCTCTTCAGCCCAGTATAGAGAAATGACTGGATACTAAATTATCTTCTAGAGACCTGTTCCTATGAAATGTCACACGTGGTGAATTTACTTATAACAGGGTTGTCCATAAGTATGTACCAAGATTTACCTAATATTGATCGGATTTTATCTGATTGGTTGTTGAATTTAACAAATCGACAAATTTTTAGACTGGTGTCCCCAAGATTTTCCCCCAAAAAGTAATGTCACATGGGCTGTATTTCGCCCATTGATACGTATCTTTAAGAAATTTCCTGCTATAGCCCCATTGTAGGAAGCGTGTTTGTAATAGATGTGCCTGTCTTTCAAAGACAGTCGGATCCGTACAATTTTGATGGATACGCATATATTGGCCTCTCGGGATACCCTTGATAAGATGACATGGGTGAGCACTATTGGAGTGCAAAAGGAAATTTCCAGCCTTGGGTTTCCTAAATAGGTCGGTCTGGATATTTCCAAGGGTATCTTTTTTAATCAAAAGATCAAGGAATGGTAGAGTATGTACAGTTGTGTTCAAAATAATAGCAGTCAGACATCACTAACCTGATCAATCACTGTTTTTGGTAGAAATTATATTTCTACATGGCAAATAATTTACTAGCAGGTGTAGTAGAGTAATAGAAATCCATCCATTCTGCTGATTTTGTGTAATTGAATCACTAATTGAAAGGGGCATGTTCAAAATAATAGCAGTGTGGAGTTCTATTAGTGAGATCATTTATTCTTTGAAAAACAGGTGGCAATTATTGCCCTTATTTAAGGAAGGAAGGCAGCAAATGTTGTACATGCTGGTTACAGTGCATTTCTCTCTGAAATTCTGAGGAAAATGGGTCGTTCCAGACATTGCTCAGAAGAACAGCGTACCTTGATTAAAAAGTTGATTGGAGAGGGGAAAACATATAAAGAAGTGCAGAAAATGATAGGTTGCTCAGCTAAAATGATCGCAAATGCTGTAGAATGGCAACCAAAACCTGAAAAACGTGGAAGAAAGCGAAAAAAACTTCCATTCGAATGGATAGAAGAATAGCCAAAATGGCAAGGACTCAGCCAACAATCAGCTCCAGGACGATCAAAGAAGGTCTAAAGTTACCTGTGAGTACTCTTACAATTAGAAGACGCCTATGTGAAGCCAAGCTATCTGCAAGAAGCCCCCGCAATGTCCACTGTTGAAAAAAAGACGTGCTGAAGAGGTTACAATTTGCCAAAGAGCACATTGACTGGCCTAAAGAGAAATGGGGCAACATTTTGTGGACTGATGAAAGTAAGATTGTTCTTTTTGGGTTTAGTGGCCGGAGAGAGTTTGTCAGACGACCCCCAAACACTGAAGTCAAGCCACAGTACACTGTGAAGACAGTGAAGCATGGTTGCACAAGCATCATGATATGGGGATGTTTCTCATACTACGGTGTTGGGCCTATTTATCGCATACCAGGGATCATGGATCAGTTTGAATACATCAGAATACTTGAAGAGGTCATGCTGCCTTATGCTGAAGAGGAAATGCCCTTGAAATGGGTGTTCCAACAAGACAACAACCCCAAACACACCAGTAAACGTGCAACATCTTGGTTCCAGACCAACAAGATTGACGTTATGGAGTGGCCAGCCCAATCCCCGGATCTTAATGCAATAGAAAACTTGTGGGGTGACATCAAAAATGCAGTTTCTGAGGCAAAACCAAGAAATAAAGAACTGTGGAATGTAGTCCAATCATCCTGGGCTGGAATACCTGTTCACAGGTGCCAGAAGTTGGTTGACTCCATGCAACACAAATGTACAGAAGTTCTCAGAAACAGTGTTTATACAACTAAATATTAATTAAGTGATTTAAAGGAAAGCAAAATCTTCAAACATTTTTCAGTTTATATAGTGAATGTTTGAGTTTGTAAAGAAGAATACAAACACTGCTATTTTTTTGAACAGTCTAATATTCACTTTTCTTCAATTGTTTTAGAGGAACAACACAAATTTGATATATTTTTCTTTATGTTCTGATTTGGAATAGAATGTGTAGTGTTCCCAATGCATTTGTGTGTATGGAAATAAAAGCTATTAGAAGGATTTTGAGCTTTATTTACTTTTTTCAACACACTGCTATTATTTTGAACACAACTGTATATGACTAGATAAGGTAAAGGTAAGATTGAAGTCATTCTTATTAAGCCAATCAACAGACTCATTCAAAAGAGCTTCTGTACCTGACCAAAATATAAGTATGTCATCAATATATATGAGCCAAAGAATCTTTTCTTTATATCATTTTGAATGTAACTCATCTTGCTATAAAGAATCTTTATTGGTGATTTGTCAGTCCTGGCTGACCAATATGGTGCCGCTTGGCAAGAACGTATGAAAAAATTAAGAACAGACACTGTAGGTGAAGGTATGGATAAAAATTAAATTCTGATATTACCTACCCAACTTAATTGCCTATAGTAGCATAAATCTCATTTTTATTGCCATAGTCAATTTTTTCAGTCCTATATCGAATCTAAAATTATTGGTCTGCATATACAAATTTTTCCTACCATCTACAATCCACCATTGAGTTTGAAGTAAAGATGGGAGCAAAACCTTACAGCATGCTCTTTGAATATGATTGAAATTTTGAAACAGTATTATGACTCAGAAATAATGGAACTGGACAAAGATACAACTGGTAATCCAAAAGTTGAATACTTATCTGCAATCTACTTTCAATAATAAAAATCCACTTACAATAATACAAAAAACGTATGGCTAATCAAAATTACTT